TTGAATTTTTTTTTCTTTTTTAAAAAATGAATAAAACTGGTTTTTAGAATAAATTTGCAATTTTTTTTTAAAAAAATAATTGATGAAAAGAAGTGAATTGGCTTCTTTTTATTTTTGATGCTACTCTAACAATTGGTTGTTAATTAACAATTGATTTAAGTTTGAGTTAATGGTTGGAGATATTTTTAGATTAGCCCAACCTTTATTTGAATTTGTAATTAAATTTAGCCATCGTTTGGTCGGTGGGATGAATTTTTTTGACTTTTGTGAAAGAAAAAATAAAATGATATGGTTTGAATGTGACATTTTGTTTTATTGACTTTTTAGTCAATTTTATTTTTTTGTGGTTATTTTAACCCCAACCTCACAAGCCATATGAAATATTCTAGATATAAGAATCAATTTAAATAAAAGTTTTGATAATAGTAGAGTTGTAATATCAACATTTTTTTATTTAATAGTGAATATTACATTGTTTTTTATTTATAGAAGTATATATTTTGACATTTTTAATTATTAAAAAAATAACAGACAAATGTCCTTTTTTGAAAAAGTAAAAAAGTTAAAATGTACAATGATATTAACTAATAGTTTGGAGATCAATGTATATAATTACATTAATGTTATAATGGAGTTTAGATTTGTTAAAGTTGAAAATTTTAACTTTATGGTGAAGTTGATCTATATTTAAATTAACTTGGATTCACTTTGATGATTTAAGTCATTTATCTTATACAACTAATTTTTTTTAGATAGGTATCTTATATAATTAATTACGAAAATTAGTTATATAAAAAAATAAGTTGATTCAATATCAATTGACATACTATTAACTCTTTTTTTATCCGTATACCTTGTATGTTTTTACAAATGTGTTATAATATATATGTGATTTGATTATGTGACTATTTATGTTTAACCAGCTTAATTTCTTGCATATTTTTCTCAATTTCTCATATTAGATGAACAATTTAGATTAATATATCATATTTTCAAATTTATCAATTCTAAACTTGTTATAATGATCATATTCATGTATCACATTTAATTGGCCATGTTTGGGAACATAATTATTTTAGTTACCTTTTTGACTATTTTAACTTTGCTGAAAAGGTTTATTTGGAAAGATAGTTGACTTTTTTTTTTAATAATTTTTTTATAGCTAGTTTTATGGTTACGGGAGAAAAAGTGAAATAATTATGGTTTGAATATAATATTTTATCTTATTAATTATTTTAACCTATTTTATCTTTATTAACTATTTTAGTTTCCAATTCTCTTTCCAAATAGGGCCATTGTATCATCATTGTATTAGTAACAATTCAAAAAAATTACACAATAATCCACAATCACATGACAAGAGAAGTGAGTTCTGTAAAATAAATTTGTGATAGATTAAAATCAACAACTATGATGTTCATATTTTTATCAACTAAATTGAAAGCTTTTTATTTTTATTTTTTTTAAAGAGTATCAACCATCTATTTATACTAGATATTAAGGAAAAGAGGGTTTTTATGAGAAGAGCCTTGTGAAACTCAAAATTCATATACTATTTTTCCAAAATTCTTATTTTTTAAATAATTAAATTTTTTCTATTAACTAACTTTATTGAATTATTAAAAAAAATCTTATTATGTCTTGATTTACACATTTCAAAATGAAAGTTAATTAATCCATTTATAAATTTAAATTTAAAAATTTAAAAAGGAGAGTTAATTAATCAGTTTTAAAATTTTTAAAAAATCTTCCAGCTTTTATTGATTGATTTAAAAAAAAAAATCTTAATTTTCTTTGATTTACACATTTCAAAAGGAAAGTTACTTCTATTTATAAATTTAAATTTAAAATTTGAAAAGGAAAGTTAGCTAATTAGTTTTAAATTTTAAAAAAAAAAATCTTCTAACTTTAATTGATTCATTTAAAAAAAAAAATCTTATTATGCCTTGATTTACACATTTCAAAAGGAAAGTTAACTAATCTATTTATAAATTTAAATTTAGAAATTTGAAAAGGATACTTAACTAATCAGTTTTAGATTTTTTTTAAAAATCTTATAGCTTTTATTAGATCATTTAAAAAAAAAAGAAATCTCATTATGGCTTAATTTACATATTTTAAAAAGAAATTTAATTGATCCATTTAAAAATTTAAATTTAAAAATTTGAAAAGGATCGGTTTTAAAATTTAGATTTTTGTACTCTTAAAAATATAGAAATCAATTCGCACATTTCTTAGTTTATTTCTCTTTATGTTTAATTTTTTAAATAATTAAAAAAATATTGGCTAGCTTTTATTCCGTTATAATATAATCGATGATCTATTTTAAGAACTTGCTTTTCCTACCAAATATTATATAGATTTTTTTTTAGATAGTATATATCAATATAATAAAGGATAGAAAATTTCTTTTCAAACATTGATGATGTGTTTGGTTCAAGATTTTGGGTAGAAAATTTGAAAGTGAAAATGAAAAGATTTGTGAAATTAGGTAAAATATAATTACATTTCATTCACATTTCACCTTTTTTTTTTTCTTTTCTCATTCCGAATTCCCATTCAAATTTATGAATCAAACATAACACAGAGTTGGATACATATTCTCCATACTGAAAATTTTTAATTAGTATTACTTTTTAAAATTGTGTATACTACAAACTTTTATCACACATGTCTCCATATAATAATGATTGAAATTTATTTTAGTTGCTATCTTAAGTTTCGTTTGGCGTTGGTTAATATAGCAAACTTTTTTTGTTGGGACTTTTTTAGTTTGGTTTTTTTAGCCTCATTTGGTTTGAATTTTTTTGGCTTTTTTGACTTTTGAGAGAGAAAAAATATAATGATTATGAGTTGCATGTGATATTTTGTCTTATTAGTTTACTTAGCCTATTTTTATGCTTTTTTAACCTCAAAATGATAGCCAAACCAGGGCTTAAAAATTAGTTATAGAGTCAAAGAAAATTTGTGGGTCCTAAAGTTTTAAAATAAAAAATTTTTAATTAGAAATTGTTCAAATATAATTATCTTAATATTTATAATTTTTGTATTGATTGATAAAAAGTACCATAAACATTAAGTTTTTTTTTTTAATGATATTGAGTTATTAAAATATGATGTATTATAGCTTAATCAAGAATTGTTGAAAAAAAAAAAAAAGGCGACTCAAACTAGATTTTTTAGGCTAATTTTGAATATTTAATTGAACATTAGAATCCTCAAAATAACTCATATCGGTCACGAACTGATAAAGACAATTTTTAATGATTAGGTGAAAGTCATATTAATATAAATATTGAGTCGAGTAGTTTTTAGGTATTTTTTAATGTTTAGTTTAACACTATAAGTCAATCTTAATTCATTTTTATATAAGAGTGATGATATGTGACAATTTTAATTTGAGTAGACAAATTTTTAGGCTTTACAATATGAAAAAAGTAGTATGTGAACAAATGTAATTTACTACTATCATTTGATAAATTAAAATTACAAAACTTATAAAACAAAATGTATTTTTATAGTAAATATAATTTTTGTAATTTATTCTTAAATTTTTACTAATTAAATTATGACATGTAATTTTTTATTAAAAAGTTAGAACACACAATTAATGACATTAGAATAAAAATTTCTTTTATGTGTGACTCTGATAAAAATGTATAAAATTTAATTGATTATAAATAATTTTTACTATTATTATTTGAAATTAAAAACTAATTTTTGATTATTCATTTATACTTGTACATATCACGGGCAATATGCTAATTTTTTATATATGACAAACTAGTAATACTTCCATGTGTAATGCACATCGTATGTAATCTTATCACAAAATTATTTAAGTTTTTACGAGTGATTTCACAAAAATACATAAATTGAATATAAATGCGCGTAAATTCACTTTTATGAATAAAATAATACAAATTTATATTCCACTTATACATTTTTATGAGATTCCTCAATTAAATTTATAAAAATTTACATAATTCTGTAGTAAATTTTCATAACAAATTAACCATTATTTTTACAATAACACACCAATTACTATACCAATTAGTATACCAACATATGCTATAATATTGCAACTTCAAAATTATAGATCCCACTTATTATATAAACTACAAAAATTTAAACCTAATAAAATTATGTTATATCATCTGTTAATACACTAATTAATGTACTAATTGGTGCGTATTAAGGCCAAGTTTGGCATACACAAAATAATCCATTTTTTTTTATCTTTTTATCCTTTTTCCATTACATCACCTCTCAACTTTTCTGCACATCTTTTCGTAAAAAGACAAAAAGTACACTTATTTAAGTCATTCCAAACAACAGCCTTGTAAAGTTATAGCTTCGCTTGGCAAGTAAATTGATTTTTTAACTATTTTAACCTGAACTAAAAAGTCTCATTTAGAATTGATTTTTTAACTTTTTAAATTTTTATAAAAAAAATTATAATTTAAAAATTTTAATCTATTTTATCTTTTTAGAGCTAAAATATTCCCAAACATAGTTTTTTTTTTTAATTTTCAATATTCTTAAAAAAAAACAATTTAAAGAATTGACCAATTTTTCAAACTATTTGGGAAACTAACCTGCTTTTTTAAATCGCATTTTGAAAATGTAATTTTAAATTGAAATTATATTTTTAGCATGTGATTTTATCTTGAAATTGCATGTTAAAAATCCAATTTATTACATGAATTTCATTAAGATGTATTATATTTTCAACATACGATTTCAAAGTAAAATTATATGTTAAAGATATAATTTTAATTTTAAAATTATATTTTCAAAATATAATTTCAAAAAATAGATTAATTTCTTAAATAATTTAAAAAGTTGATCAATTCTTTAAATTTTTTTTTTTGAATATTAAAAAAAAAAAACTCCAAAAACTCCAAACTTACATGTGAAACATAGCCATTCCAAACTTACATGTGAAACATAGCCATTTATAACTTACATGTGAAACATAGCCATTTATAACTTGTAAAACAACCCTACGGCTACGGTTCAAATACTGAACTTGGAATCTCTCCCCTTCCGACTCTGCTCAACAATGGGGTTCTTCGACCTAAACATACCCTACTACGAATCCAACAAACACATCACCGACAAATCCTCCATTAAAACCACTCGTCTCAAGCTCCTCGTCAAGGCAATGGAGCTAGGCTACTCCGGAGTCGCCTACAACCGTACGATCAAAGGCGTCATGTCCGAATCCGACCGTTGCTCAACCCCTCTCTTCCCTCTCTCCTCCCTCCTCAATCTCTCTCCTTCTCTCTCCTCCTCTGTCAAGCTCCACCGCCACCTCCTCAACGTCCCCTCCTCATCCCCCTTTCGTCAGTACTCTCGCTTGACTGTCACCGTCGATACTTCCTCTCAGGCTTCGGCTCTCAATTCCGGGAATCCGATTCTGAAGACTTATGATGTTGTGGCGGTTCGGCCTCTCAATCAGAACTCGTTTGAGCAAGCTTGTCAGGCTTCTGAGGTTTGATTTTGATGTTTTTGGAAATTTGGATTTTTTTTTGGAAGTTTATTTGAGTTGTTGTGATTGTGATTGTGATTGTGATTGTGTAGGTGGATTTGATTTCGATTGATTTTTCGGAGAAGTTGCCATTTAGGTTGAAGCAACCGATGGTTAAAGCTGCAATTGAGGTTCATTCTTCACTTGTTTTTCTCTATGTTTTTTAAACTATATATAGAATTAATTTCATTTTTATCCCTAAACTATCACCATTTATTCATTTCATCTATTTAGTTAGATGAAGCTTAATTTGATGAGCAAAAAAGTAATTTTCTTATTCAGACAACTTAAATCATACAACCAAATAGATGAAAAATAAAAAATGAATGTTTGTTTTCAAATTAGTATGAAAAATGAATGTTTTGTTTTCAAATTAGTATGAAAAATGAATGTTTTGTTTTCAAAATAACCCCTTTTTTTTTGTTTTTTGAGTAGTTTGTGGTGGTGAAATTAATACTATGAATGTTTTGTTTTCAAAATAGTAGTTTGTGGTGGTGAATAGTTTGTTTTCAAAATAGTATGAAAAATGGAATGTTTTGTTCTGTGATATGAGTTGTTCAAGTTTTGGAATAACCTTTTTTTTTAAAGGCTACAAGAACTGCAATAGGAAACTTTAAGGACTAAATAGATGAAATTGCTAGTTTAGGGATGAAATGAAAAAAATAGTGATAATTTAGGTGACAAAAGTGAAATTAACCCTAAAGTAAAAAAAGACGGACAGGAGAAAAAAAAAATTTGGACCAAATTTCATTACATTGTTTTTTTATTCTTGTATGATTAGGCGTGTATTGTGTGGAAATATGAACAAATTTATGAAATTTCGCCATGGAATCAGAAAAAAGTTAAAAATTATTGATTTGTTTAAACTCAACCAAAATTTCAGCCCTAGAGAGTATTTGTAGTTGGTTGACTGGATGATACTTTCAAAATAATACATTTGCAACTTCAATCAATGATTGTACTGTGTATATTGTCAATATTTCTAGGCGTTAATAACTTCTGATAAGTTCACGGGAAATGCATTTTTGTAGAATAGGGTTTAATTTAGTGCTTTTGATATATGGTGCCGGATTTATGTTGAAATTGTGGGATATAATATAAATTATTGGGTTGCTAATTTATTTCTTGTGTTTTATTTGCAGCGTGGTGTATATTTTGAAATTACATACTCAGGTCTGATCATGAATGCTCAAATGAGGAGACAAATGATATCTAATGCTAAGGTAAGGATTGAGATATATTCCCAACAGTAGAGTGTTTAGACACGACATGACTGAAACTTATTGTACAAATTTTCTACTATGCCCTGCAATTGCACCTTGCAAAATCAAATTAATGGGTTCATTTGCTAGTTTAGTCCCTTGATGATGATATTGTAAATGCCAGATAAATTTAAGAGTAGTTGTGCTAACCGTGACATGAAAATGCATATTCAGTGGAGGGGATCATGAAAAGACAACGGTATTTGGATGCCAAAGTGACTTAATATTTTGTGTGTAACATTGGATGACAAGAACTAAATCTTTTTGCAAGAACTTTAGGTGTTTCGTCCAATCTGTTAGAGTCAGAGTAGCCTAAGAGAACCAAATCTTGTGATGAGTAGATATTTGTATAAAAGGTTAGACAAACTAAAGGAAAAATTACCATTGTCATCTTAAAAATATTTTTTTAATAAGTTAATAAACTTTTCCAGTAGTATTAATTTTTATAAAATTTTAAAGAAAATTTAAATATTGTGTATCGTATGAATTGCTGTTGACTGAACTGTTTATGATGTGATGTTGGAGGTCCATGGAGTGTTTAAATTCATACGGTTCGTGCTCCCTCTGAAAATTGTGGGTAAGCATGGGCTCTTGTGCTCATTAATTGAGTCTAGGGGCACTTGAGTGAGAAAATTAGTAGCCCTTTCCTTGTAAGTGTAAGTGCGTATGTTGACTGGATAATGCCAACATCCATGCTTTTGTCAGAAATAAAAGAAGTCTAAGCTTATTTAAATGGTGGGTTAAACTTTTTGATGTCTAGTTGACGTGATGCGTACGGTGTAACAAAAAGATTTGTGGCCTTAGTAGTGGTGGGTAGACTTCTTGAGAAGTTAGAGGTCTGATTTAAGATGTTTGTTTTATTTATCACAAAATTAACTTGCATGAAATGGCAGAGGAATGCTTTTTTTGTATTCAGTAATGATAGAATTTTTTTTCTTGCAAAAATAGTTGCATTTGATGTTTTTGAGATTCTGAGTTCTTACAAAATGTAAACATGATGGTTGGTTTGATGTCAAGTAATAGTGTGGTATCGCAGGGAAAATGTTCACATGTTTAGAATAATCATATATAGTATTGGACAATCTACTAGAAGCATCCAAACTACAGATCTCTATGAGATGTCCTTTTTTTCATTTATTGCTACATTTTTTTCTAGATTACTCATATATGGATTGTTTATTTATTCATTTATCGTTTTATGACTATTCTGGTCCTCTGCGTCTTGTGTTTCTTTTAGTTGTTATGAATTGAGCTTGAATGTCGCTATTTTCATGTCTGGGTCCTTTGGAAAGGTGGTAAAACAGGCTTGTAGGGTTGCTTTATTCTATGATAACCACCCAGCTTGTTGGTTTTGAGTCAAGTTGCAATGAATCCCTCCATGTGTATCTCGTTCATTGCAAATTGGGGAAGTCTATTCTGATCAATTTCCTACCCAACTTCTCTTGGTTTACTGTGGATGTTGATTAGATGCTCATCGTGTTTCATTAGATAAACCAAACCAAGCTAAACCAAGCCTTAAGTCCCATCAAATGGGGTCAGCTTCATGAATCCTTCTTCTCCGCGCAGTCCTATCAAAGGCTTTTCATTAGTCAAATTAAGTAGATCTATATATCTATTTACAATGGTAACCAACGTTAATCTAGGCCTACCCTGTCCCCTAATACTCTCATCTATCGTCACAGCATTGTATCTCTTCACTACTGTCTCTGTTGGCCTCCGTTGGCCTCTGTTGAATGTGACCAAACTATCTCAATCAATTCCCTCTCAACTTATCTTCCATCGGTGTTACTCCTACCCATTCCCGAATACTTATTCCTAATTCTGTCTTGTCTAATCTTGCCGCACATCCACCTTAGCATCCTCATCTCAGCCACACTCATCTTATCTACATGTTGTTTCTTAGTTGCCCAACACTTCGTTCCATACAATATCGCTAGTTTAATAGCCGTTCTATAGAACTTACCTTTTAGTCTAGTGGGTATTCGTTTATCGCACAGTACCCCAGACGCACTTCTCCACTTGCACCATCCCGCCTTAATCCTATGGGTCACATCCGCGTCAATGTTCCCGGCTATTGTGATAATCGATCTTAAATAATGAAATTCACCCTTAGGCAATTATTGGTTCTCAATCTTCACTTCTCCTCTGTTTTCATTGTTATTGTTACTAAATTTACATTCCATGTACTTTGTTTTAGTTTTGCTTATCTGGAATCCTTTAAATTCAAGAACTTTTCTCCAAATCTCCAACTTTGTGTTAACTCCTCCTCTAGTCTCATCCACTAGCACGATATCGTTTGCAAAAAGCATACACCATGGCACGTCATCTTGAATATTTCTCGTCAACTCATCCATAACTAAAGCAAAAAGATAAGGACTTAAAGTAGATCCTTGGTGTAACCCTACAGTGATAGGAAATTCATTTGTCTTCATACATGTCCCTAATCACACTAATGTAACCTTTTATTATCCCTTTCTTCTCTAATACTCAACATACTGTATCTCGGGCCACTTTATCGTATGCTTTCTCAAGGTCGATAAACACCATATAAATGTCTCTTTTATTTTCTGTATACTTTTCTATTACTCTCCTCAAAAGATAAATCACTTCCATTGTTGACCTGCCAAGCATAAACTTAAATTGATTCTTTGACACCTCTATTATATCTCGTAATCGGCGTTCTATCACCCTCTTCCACATTTTTATTATATTACACATCAGCTTGATTCCTCTATAGTTGTTTCAATTCTGGACATCTCCTTTATTCTTATAGATTGGCACTAAAATACTCTTCCTCCACTCATCTGGCATGTTCCTAGTCAACAAAATTTTACTAAACAACTTAATCAACAAAGCAACCTTTTTTTTACCCAAACACTTCCAAGCTTCAATAGGGATATCATCGGGTCCCAAAGCCTTATTTGATTTTATCTTCTTAAGTGCAATCTCCACTTCAAAGTTTCTAATCTTGGGATAAAACCTATAGTCTGAGTTTATCGTATTACTGGCTATTTCTTCCCCTATTTATGTATCTCCATGTTCCTCATTTAATAGTTTCTCAAAATAGTTGTTCCATCTTTCCTTAATCTTTTTATCCTTCACCAATACCTTAGAATTCTCACTCTTGATGAACTTAACTTAATTAAAATCTCTTGTTTTCCTCTCCCTTATCTTAGCAAGTTTATATACCCTATTGTCTCCCTTCTTACTATCTAGTCTAGTGTATAGGTCATCATAAGCTTTCAACTTAGCCTCTCTTACTACTTTTTTGACCTCCTTATTAGTCAATCTATCTCTTAAGGTTTTCCTCAGTTCTATCTTTCTGCCACTTTTTAAAGCACTCTTTTTTTGCCTTAACTATTGCTTGAATCTTTTCTCGCCACCACTAAGTTTCCCTAGAGCTGGGTCTTATCCCTTTCGACTCTCCAAGCACTTCCCTTGAGATTCTCCTCATACAATTGGCCATCGAGTTCCACATAGTGTTAGCATCATCTTCCAAGTCCCAAGTACCTTCTTTATCTATTCTATTCTTAAATATTTCTAGCTTATCCCTTTTTAGGTCCTACCATCTCGTCCTACGGAGCCCACCATCCTTCCTAGCTTGGAATTGCTCTCTAAAACATAAATCTAGTACCCAAATCCTATGTTGAGAGGCCAGGCTCTCTTCAAGAATCACTTTACAATCATTGCATTTTAGGCGGTCCACTTTTCTCACTAAGAAGTAATCTATTTGGCTCTTAACTGACCCACTCTTAAAGGTTATCAAGTGTTCCTCCCTTTTCTTATATATAGTATTGGCCATCATTAGGTCAGAAGTCAACACAAAATCTAAGGTACTCTCTCCAGCCTCATTTCTGTCACTAAAACCGTATTCACCATGCACCCTTTCATAGCCTAGTTTATCTATACATGGCCATTAAAATCTCCACCTATAACCAGGTTTTCTCTTACGGATATCTCCTGTAAGAGCTCATCCATTTGCTCCCAAAAATCCCTCTTAGTCTCGTCATCTAATCCTACTTGAGGGGTGTATGCACTAATAATGTTCACTATATTCCATTCAATAATTAGTTTAACTAACATAATTCTATCTCCGTTCTTAATGACTGCCACTACATTCTCTACAAGACCCTTGGCAATTATGATTCCTACCCCATTCCTGCGTCTATCCTTATCACTATAATACAGTTTAAAACCGGTATCCTCAATTTCCTTAGCTTTCTTATCTATCTACTTAGTTTCTTGTACGCAAGCTATACTAACTCTCCTCTTAATCATAACATCTACCAATTCTATCGTCTTACCAGTTAAGGTTCCTATATTCCAAGTGGCTACCTTAAATCTGTAGTCTTGGACTAACTTCTTTACTCGCGCTCGTCCAGAAAAACGCGGGAACCTTTGCCCACTTTTCATCACACCCAGACGTTGATGCGGCGCCCCTTGCTCACTTTTCGAAATACCCGGAGGCAGGCGCAACGCGTCACTTGAGGGGAACGACTTAGCATTTAAATGATTCAAAATAGGATTCATTGTCATATCATAAGAGATCCGAGCGGCTTTTTTACGTGTTGGCTGTCAGTTACCTAACACACAACCCTCCTCCTTAACCCGGGCTTGGGATTGGCGAAGTTGTTAACAACCCCGGCGGAGTTTTTCATTAGATATAAATTATAAATCTACCCCTCTCAAACAATTTGAGCTTTTAGATGAGTTGGTGGTCAACAATTTATCATGTATCAGAGCAAACAATAAATCCTGGAACCTCATTGACTACCCAATATTATCATGATACTTGCATGTGATTTGGCCTGCTTATGAAAAAGGGCTTGGCCACACGAGGGGGCACGCTGAAGATACATAATTATAGAAATAATAAATTTGCCCCTCTCTAAGATCTTAAGCTTTTTAGATGAGTTGGTGGTCAACATTCATCAATTTTAATAATTTTGGAACTATGAATCAGCTATGGAAGCTTTTCTAATCTTTTATGCCCCAGGCAACTAATCATCCGGATTATTCTGTACTTCCAGCTACTGGTGGATTGGACCCGAGGAAAGAATCTCATTTTTTCAAGTGCAGCCCCTTCTGTGAATGAACTAAGAGGGCCATATGATGTTGCGAATTTATCGTCACTGCTCGGGCTCCCTATGGAACGTGCTAAAGCAGCTATTTCCAAAAATTGTAGGTATGGCAGCTTGCAAAAATGTTGACCATCTTAGGATGTTGTGCTGATGTTTAATGAACGTGAAACATTTTTGTTCCAATGTTTTGCAGATCTCTTATAGCTAATGCTTTAAGGAAAAAACAGTATTACAAGGAGACCATCAGAGTTGAAGTAATTTCATCAGGGGAACGGTTTGACTCCAAGGAACCTTGTTTCAGTGACTGGCTTAAATGGGATCCGATCTCTAGTGGTGATGGCGATTTGCTATTAGATGACATGGCAAGGTTCTTTTCTGCCTCCACTAAAGTATCCAAAACTGTGAAAGCCATTGACTTTGCTTCGATTGTTGATAGTTTGCCATCACGTGGGCTGCAAGTTTTGGACATGAAATCTGCAGCAGAGGCTGCAGTGCAACCACTGGATATTGGTAAAAACTTGTCTACTGCTGGGGAAACAAAGGTGTCTTTTGCAGTTACTGGATTATCTCAACAGCCAGAGAGTCTTGATGATCTTCGTAAAGCAGATCAGACTTCATCATACGATATGCTATCCCAACATCAGAGCTACAGCTGTGAAGAATCTATAAAGTCATTTTCACCAATTGATACTCTCAGAGATTTCAGTAATGCTGTAGAAATTGAAACCCATACCACCAACACCGAGGAAGAATCTAAAATCTCAAATGGGTTGGATGTATATTTGACCCCACTTGGAACTGAAATGCATAATTTTCTATCTCAAAGTTGCATCACTGGTTGTGATGCTCATGTTCTGTTACCAGATGATAATGCAACATTTCACACTTCGGCAATTGACACTGAGATTGCTGCTGTCAATACTGCTGTTGCTGGTACAGAAAATTCCACTCGCTCCAAGGACACTGATTTTTCTGTTTTCTATAATAAAGAGTCTAAGAGGGAATGTAGTCCCGGTGTAGTTTTAGGTACAGAAGATCATGCAATGAAAGAAGTCTTAATTGAGACAAATACAGAAATTAAAGAAGGTTTAGCATCGGGTTCATATGATGTGTCTTTGCATGAAGATTTTACGGGAAGAGAACAGTTCGGGGAAAAAAGAGATGATTCAGTTTCCATTGCTAATGTATTGCCAGTTGTGGAGTCTTATGATGAGATGAAAGATCATGATGATCATACTGTTAGAAACTGTAAGCCACCGGATGAAGGGGAAATGGAAGAGAAAATGCAAATTGAAGATCATGCTGAAATTAATTGTCCAGCCTTGGATGATTCACCAGGTAATGCTGTGTAAAAACATATACACTAATATTCAGCCGTTCCTCAATTCTGTCAGAATGTTACTAACAATCTTAGACGCTGGACTTTTAATCACAATTGCATAAGTTATGCAGAATCTTTTCCCTGCAGTACTGGTTTAATTTTATTACATAAATGTTATTAGTAAATCCATCTTTGGTTGTGCCTTCATTCTGGGCTAATGTTTCTTTTCTGTTGGTCAATTATCTTCTTTCTTTTTAATTTTTTAATATTATGTATTAAGAATTTTTATGGGTCTAATTTAATGTTCTTTGTGTAGACTGGGAGTTGGTACATTCTGAAAAAAAAGCAAATTCATTCAATTTCAGGAATCAAACTTGCTCCATTTTTTTTTGAAAAAAGAAGAAGTCAATGATACTTATCCTTTTTGAATCTTTCTTATCCAGCACCTACTTATTCTTTCCTTGTTTTATCGAGTGCAGCGGAGCGCAAAGTGAAAAAAAGGATACGTAACCGAGCCAATTTGTTCCCTCTTAAGCGTTTGTTGAATCCTACACCTTTCAAGAGGAAAGCTCGGAAGCCAAAAACTAAGATTAAATTGTTGTAATTGGGTAAGTAATCCCATTTTAGTTATATTGTGTTGGTTCACGCAATAATAACAGCTGCGGATGCTCTTACAATTTTTCCTAGTTGCTTTCTTTGTTAACATATAGGGTAAACTATTATGCATCTATCTCAACCCTTCATCATTTGGGTTCTAAATTTTGGTATTGGCATCAATATTTGTAATAGTTGAAGACGATGCACTCCAATTTTTTGTTAAAATATTGCAATTTATTATGGTGAAAGGTCAAATTGGTCAAGATTGTAATATGGCTTTCATATTAGACCTTCTGTGTGCTAGTGCACAGGTGTCCTTGTGGGTGTTCTAGTTTTGAATTGTTATATCTTGTTAATTAGTTCAATTTGCACTGGATTGGTTCATGTCAATTAGTTCAGTTTGCAGCAAATTGGCTTTGAAAACAAGCCATGGGTATAAAATTCAGGTTTTAACACCTATATTGTCTGTTCAATAATAACCACTGCTTTTGAGCCAAATGACATAGGTAATCCTAATCATCCTATTGCCCAAGATGAGATTTCATTGAGTTACCATATTATCATTTGAGGCTTAGAGCTGTTCTATTCTATTATGGCCAGCCGTGTATTGAGCATAATGGTTGTTATCTTGATTCATACTTGTATTTATATGCTAACAAAGGTGCTGTTGAGTCACCAATTGTCCTAAAAGCTTTTATTTGTTAGGAAATGAGTCTAACAATAAAAATATGAAGCTCTCCAACACCCTCTCTCATGTGCAACTCCATCTTGCAAGTGGAGATGCAAACATTCATACATATTGAGAATTTCAAATGCAAATGAGAGAGGAAAGAATGCAAACGGGCACCAAATGCAAACAAAGAGACTTGAACTCAAGACCATTCCAAACTCAAACTTTGATACAAGAATTAAGTTGTCAATTACCTTGAAAGCTTAAGTTGTTAGCGAATAGACCCAACAATGTATATCCAACTCTTCAGTAATGTGTCATTTTTTTTTGAAAATGTGAAAATGCGATGATTCGGAATGTACATGCACCAATTTGGCATGGAAATCTTAATTACAATTGTATAATTTTATGTCTTTAATATTTTTATTTTTTATTATAGCTTTTAAATTACAGCTTAATTAGGATGATCTTATCAATATTTAGTTTATTAATTTTAGAGATTTAGTTTAATATTTTGAATTAGGCTTTTAGTGTATAAATATTAGGTTGTTAGTTTATAACAAAGTTTTCAAAGACGAATGTGTAACTCGAGGCGTTTTACCCCTCATAAGGCGAGGCATAAGCATTGAGGCGTGAGCATAAGCATTTCGAATTTTAAATTTTAATAGGTAGTAAATAAATTAAATCTTTTGAAATAGAGATAAACAAATAACTATTAAAGAAGAAGATATAATTACTTTTCTCCTTAAGGCATCAAACATTTTTGCAGAGAATAAGGTTTGCTTTCATTGTTCATTTACTTAATGTTTTCTGTAGAATATAGTCACAAAAGGTTTTTTTTTTTTTTTCTTCTTCTGTGTGTGGCCTTTTGATGTTTAAACTATTTACTAACAAGAGTCTAAAGCAACCGCTTCATATGCATACGCGTCATAGGCTTATCTGCAAAAGGCGTACAAGGCGCACTTAAGGCGCATGTCTTAGATTGTGATGCGCAAGCCTTTAGGGAGTATAGACTAAAAATCAAAGTCTTAATACGTTTTATCTTAGTCTCGAGGTGAGCATTCAGGTGAGCCTCAGTAAAGCCTTTGAAAACTTTGCTTTATAATAGTCAGCTTGGATTAATATATTGAGTATCTAAAGGCTGTGGCCCTCATCTTCTTCTTCTTCTTCTCCTTCTCTTTTCTTCTCCTCTCTTCTCTTTTGCTAATGAGTGTTACTTCTTGCACTATCAGCAACTCTCCCAAAGAATGATGATGTTTTACGATGTGTATAATTATATGAAGGAAAACATTTTAGAGTTTCACTAGATCTTTATATGAGATGGGAGGACAAAGCACTTTATTGACTGGTATGGTTAAAAATATTGCAGAATTTCCTCTATTCCTATTGTCCACTGTGGGGAAGTGGATTAGAAATACTCCTTTGATCCACTGGGACGCTCGAGATCCTCAGCTGATGACCTGGACGACCTGAAAAGAAATAAACACTCCGGTCGGGGGTGCCGAAATTAGCACTCCGACGGTTAAGTCAGTATAGTATATACTCTCTTAGTTACTTGTATTTTAAGTTAAGCACAATGATTTTCACATACCTCTTTTTGGCTGATGTTCTTCTATTTATATCTTTTCTTTCTTGGGCCTCAGGGCTGGGCCCACTTTCAATTCACCGTATAACTATTTTCTCGGCTCATTTTGTTGCAAACTGCTTTCCACTTGGTCCCTTACTCAACTGGTTATTTGGCCGAATAGGGTAGGATTTAAATGTGTAAGATGGGGCCGAATGCGATGTATATATTTCAACTCTCCAGGTCCAATTATTCGGCCTCTTTACGTCTCCCAATATTCGGCCCCCACAATTGCCCCCCAAGCACTCCACTAACGATAGTTAGCTGGAGTGCTTGATTTCGAACTCGAAAAATCAGAGCCGAAATTCGGCGGCTAACCTCATTCCAATGCGGATGTCAGAGCACACGCCTCTCGGTTATCATTTCAACTTCCCGTCCCTTCGTACGCTTCCATTTATTGTGATTTAAAATCTTGTCGTCTTTTCGAACACACATTTTTGGATGCTTAGAGTTTTTGGACTGCCTTCCGACTCACCTCTGCAACTTCCATTCATCCTTCACTGTCCTCTCCGTCTCTTGTAAGTTCTCTTCCTCTCTGCTTTGAATCCCTTTTTCTGGTTTGCCTTTAGTTTAGTACACTCTTATAGGTTGACCGAAATGGCAAAGCATCTGAAAGACCTCCTCTCCGTGAACCGAATCTCTGGCTTTCGATGCCATTTTTCTATTCCTTACGACGTCCGTCTGTCGCTTGTGACAGACGACACCCTCGATATGGAGAGGGTTGATGAAAGCACAATCGTCTTCCATCTCTTATCAATTGGAGAGGGCGGAATCTGTTTCCCGCTTCACCCATTTCTTAGGGTTGTCCTTCGCCATTGGGGTCTAATCGCCTCCCAACCCAATGTCAACTTTTTTAGAATCGTAATGGGAATTATAGAGCTAAACCGTCGCCTTAGGATTAACCTCGGTGTACCTGTTATTTGGCATTGTTATGCCTTGGCCAAGTCTTTTGGTTGGCATGGACATTATTTCCTTAGGGCCAAGGACACCGACCATCAATTAGTAACTATGCTTTCTAGCTCATGCAAGCGAGTCGATGATGTTATGGTCGTTGTCCGAGGTAACTGGGAATTCGACGAAGGCGAGGATCGCCTTGATCCTATTCCTAAGCGGAGGGGCGAACCAGGTGGGCATATAGCTTCTTGCGTTTATTTTTCTTATATTTACAAAACTTTATTTTTGAGATCTCATGGTTTTGCTTGTGCAGAAAACGATTTGAAGAAAGTCTTGATTTCAACTGACGACGCCGTTCTTTTGGAAATTAAAGTCGCGCTCAAATATTTCGGCTGTCCGAGTCTTCAGAAACAAGGGAGGGCGGCCCACGTTCTCCTTCGGTACCAGCCGACATATACGACGTTTTTGGCGGCAGAAAACATCCCAATTTCGATGGGTGAAGAGTTTCTTATGTCTCTTATTTTGACCGACTTCAAAAACTTACGGCAAGTTGGTTTCGAAGGGTCTGATTCGGAGAGGGCAGAAGTAGCTGAGGTCGTTGAGTCAGGCTAGTCCAAAGCCGAAGTAAACGAGGCTTTGAAGTTGGCCTTTGAGGAAGCTGGCCTAAATTCAGCCAACTCTTCGTCCATTTTGGGCCGAGGAGACCTTCCGTTTGACGACATTTTTATCGGTTTAGAAGACCTTTCCGGCGCATACCCCAAAGACGTGGCTGGGTTAAGCCTCACACAACTCGCCAAAAAGAAAAATACGGAAAGAATGGCCGCGCGACGAAGAGTAGAGGTCATTCGATCTGAAGTGCCACCTGCCATCGAAGCTCAGCCCTCCCTGCCTGTTACCGAGGAGGAAACGGCTCAAACCGGAATTGTCGAGTCTGAGGCGGTTGTGCAGGCCAATCAAGAGGCTGAGCGGACGGAGAAGCGTCCTGTCGAGGTCGAGGTCGGCTCTGAAGAAAACCGTGCTGACAAACGGCCGCGCTTAGAGGAGTCGGATGTGATTGTGCTTTTTGTCACCAAAGATAAAAAACACGCCGATCTCCTCTGACGCGTCGGCTATTAAAGACCCGGCCGTGTCGTTGAGTATGGCTACGTCCGTCTTATTGCCAGCTGACAAAGCGGCTTTCCCGGCAGAGCCGGATCTACTGGCAATAGCATTAGCCGCTTAATCAACTATTCTGGTATATACCTTGACCTTGTCTTTCCCTTTTATGTAAATATTGTTTTGGTTTTAATTTCCTGTTTTGCAGAAGGTCGGAAGGATAGCTGAGATAAGCTGTCGCCAGCATGACGCCGTCGAACGACTTGGCCGTTTACAATTAGAAGTTGAGGGCCAAAGGAGCAAGGCCGAGTTCGAAGCGGCGAGGGTGAAGATGGAAAGCGTAAGGGCCGAGGCCGAGATGAAAAGGGCAAGAAATTCGGACCAGCTTAGATTGGCCGTCGAGGAGAAGGCGAATGTGAGTGAAAATGCGCTCAAGTTAGCCTGAGAGGCGATTGCCAAACTAGAGGCTGACTTGGAAGAATCGAAGAAGGCGAAGGAAGTAGCCGACTCCGAGGCTTCCAAGGCGTACGAGGCTGGGCAAAGCGCTGCCCTCGCAAGTTATGTGGAAGAAGTCCCCAAATTTGAAAATCGGGAATTCAAACACGGCTGACTCAAAGCCCTTGCTGCTGCTAATGTGACATTGGCTATGCCGATTCCATACGAGCAAGTGGACGTTGAGCTGCTGGAGTCTGACTCCGAGGATTGATTAGGGCGACATTTTAGTTATTTTTGTTTAAGGATTTTGAATCTATTGTCGCAGTCTTTCGTTTAGTAGTTTTTATATGTAAAATGACTACAGTTTTTTAGTTTTTGCTAGGCATTTTCATGCGAACTTGTAGCTTTTTGTTTAGTAGTTTTCATATGTAAAATGGCTACAGTTTGTGCCCAATTTACTAATGAAAATTTCCTTTGTGCTTGATTTTGCTACTGATGAATGGTATTGCTTTTCGCTATCTTGGATAAAACATTCGTGTATACTTGCCGATTAGATAACTAGGCAACTTAGTAATTTATTCTTGTTAAATAGCCGATCAAATCAATAAATTTGATCTTGCC